TATTTTTGTTTAAAACATCAAATGTCCATAAAAAAATAGAATTTTTGATCTTTTCCGATGTTTTCGTCGGGCATCATCGGTATAACCATATAACAAGTCGCACTATAAACATCCAGTAACCTAATCTTATTTAACCACATGAAATCTTGAGGGTGTGGGTGTGGGTGTGGGTAGGGAAGAAAAGAAAATCCAGACCCACACCCACACCCACCCACACCCACACCCACACCCACACCCACACCCACACCCACACCCACCCACACCCACACCCACACCCACACCCACCCACACCCACACCCACACCCACACCCGTTCCATCCCATCTCATAGGATATCTTTTAAAAGAATTTCACCACATGGAATGGAATGAGACAGGACTGTTCCATTCCACGTGAAACTCTGTAATATACATTGTGTTCGTCAAAGGATTTCTGTCCATTTATAATGTTAAAGCATTTTATAAACCTGAAATGGAGAAAAACTTTTATCATCGAGAAAAACATACCGGCGATACAGATGAATTGAATGAATTAGTGATTCTTTTCTATGGACGAGTCACTGCTAGTAATATATCAATACGTTCGAAAAACATACAGTGGTATACATGAGTTATCTAACGTCTGAATGAATGAATGAATGAATGTACCATTCAGGAATATGCAAGACTATTCTGATTCAAAGAATGCTTGCAAACAAAATATAAACTCAGAATCTTTAACCGTCCCAAGCCTAAGGATTTTGTTGTCTATGATCCAATTTAATTCTGGCATTGGTATTTGATAGAAATATTCTTACAGAATCATGATAAATTTTTCTATATCTGTAAGCGATCTTTCGTATTGATTATATTCAAGATAATTGAATCGTACAATATAGTATGATAATACGACTGCTTCGAAGAACATAATTGATGATATTTCTTTTCTTAATATGATTGATCATTATAGACATTATATTTTGAATGTGACATTTATATTGTAAAAAGAACTTCTTACATATTTAATATGAATATTATTTTATTATTATGAATTTTTTGAGAAAAACAACGAATAATAACAAAAAAAAAAGAAAGAATTTTGATGAATTAGTTATTAAAGAAAAGTAGTAGAGTGATTATTATTTCGAATGAATTGTAATGTTATATCATATTACAAATAATAATTATATCCAAAGACGAAATCTTGATGCAGAAATATGAATTCGACTATTTGGAAAGCGAGTTTGAACTCTTAAACGGTAAGGTTCAATTTTATCATAAGAAATACAACCATGAATATCAAGATAGACAAGTTTTTTTAATTGTTCAATTAATTGACAAAGATCCTGATCAAAAACATTCACATGTTCATCTAAATTATAAGAAATTTATTAAATTAATTTTTATTTCTTCTGTCAATATTCCTGAAGAACATACTGATAGATTGAGGCGTATGTAAAAACTTCAGCCATTGTCTAACTAATTTTCCATAAAATTTTTCAGATTGAATGTCAGGTCGAACTTAATGAAATAAAAGATGAGAAGAATAACTATGCAAAATAAGTTTATGATTATTTTTTTTAAAATAAAAATTGAATTATCATAAAGGATTACTTTCATTTTTGTTATGAAATTGCTCAAAACAATAATAACAAAACATTGATATTTAATAAATAAGTTACGGAAAAATGAAAATTTGAGCAAAAATTTTTGATTTTCCCGTAATTTATCTTGAATGAAGTAAAAGTCATTGGATACTTTTTAATACTATGTCATTGATTAAAATATCAATTATTTTTATTATCAGTTGGGAAAATCAAGGAACAAAATAAAATTTTGTCTTAACATTACAAGTCAATTAGTAGACAACAAGAATCAAATCTTTATCCATTGTTACACGTAGTAACCAGAAGTTATGACTGAACAGTACGTATCCGCTTATTCATACACTTTCACTGTCTAACAAAGATAGACATTAGTGTACCAAATAAAAGAATTAAAAGATAGAAACCATTAGGAGAAAAACCTATTAGATGCAGAAGAAGAAGTAAAATAGAACATTTCTTTGATAATCATACATGTTTAAAGAGAAATTCATCTTCATTGGAGATCGATCCATTTTAGAGTACGTATTTTATATATTAAAATGATAAAAGCAAAATGAATACGAGTCTAGATTTCAGTCCATTGTGTGGTGTTGTAATTATTTTTTTTTAATTAGATGTATTGACTCAGATTAGATAAAATTAAAATAAAATTGATCTTCAGAGAAAAAAAAACTCTTGTTTTTGTAAAAAGCTATAAAGATAACTTTTTCATAGACGTTGAAATAGCTTTACATTGTCATAGAAATGATTAGAGTTTGATCAATTGAGTGACATAAAGTAATAGTTAGAATTAAAGTTAAAAAATTCATCAATAACAATTTATATTAATCACATTTTATTTAAAAATAAACTTACTTGATGTCCAAGGAAAGTCATCTGGTCTCCAAAGACGTAACGTTTGTAAATTAGGCATATAAGTACTAAGAAGAGGTACAAGATGTTTACCAATATGACTTGATTCATTTCGACTACGATGACAACTTGGAATACTAAATTCAGCATATTGAACAGTACTTAATGCATTGTGTCGCAAATCATCCAAAGCCTAATAATAATGTTAAACAAAATAATTTAATTTAATTTGCTTACACAAAACTTATTAAAACATATTGTCAATCAATTTTTATTTATTTTCCTATTATTTAATTACATGGTTATTTTTATTCTTTTAAATAAATATATGGGATCCTCTCGATTCGTCCCAAATTAGTTAATTAGGCGATTCTCTTCTTAAATGTTTTTCTCAATTCGTCCCTTTCATGATGACTGCTATATAATGATCGTATTGTCATGTTTTCGATGCAACGATTGTCATGGAAGAAGCTGTTTGTCGTGTGAAGCAATACGCACAAGAAGAAACTACATCAGTTATAAAAATATATTCTCAAGAAGTGCTAAAGGCAAGACTTGAAAATTCGCGCATCTCAACACAAAAAGTGACAATAGAAATTTATACTTCATTATTGTTGAACTATGTTGTAGTTTTTTTTTTTTTTTTTGATAAAGCTTTACGATACAAAAACATTGCTGCTTGGTTACTAACCAATGAGGGACGAAATGAGAATCAATGAAGAATTATCTATTTATGTAAGGGACGAATTGAGAAAAACATTTAAGAGAAGAATCGCCTGATTAACTAATTTGGGACGAATCGAGAGTAAACCAAATATATGTATGGCATAACAAGATAAAATAATACTTTATTTAGAGTTTAATGAATTTATTTAAAAATGAATTAGATTTTATCAAGTTTTTCTGAGTATCTCATGAATAGTCTCATATCTCTAAAAAACAAAAAGAGAAAAAGCTTATTTTATTGCTACATTTTTGTTTTATCCAATAAGGATTATAATTAAAGATCTGCATGACCACAATTTTTGGTCACGGTCACGAAGACTTCTCCGATTTATTTTCTAAACTAGTATCATCAAAAATGGCTACAGTTCATCAATTAGCTGCGATTTTTTGGCAAAAACTATACAAATTTCACAAAAAACCTTTGATTTTGGTCTTGACCATAGTCATGATCACGAAAGACCTGATCACGGCCACGAAGATTTTCTAAATCTGGTCATGATAACAGTCACGCGTGACCCTGACCGATACCAGGATCACTTTGCAAGTTTCTAATAATAATTTATCTATGAATATTTAAAATAAAATCAATACTTACATACTGTGTAATATATAAAAGCCATTCAAATTTGTCAGCAAGAAAATATTTGAGTTGAACAGGCATTGAAATAAGACGAGCAAATACTTTTATACGTATTTTATCTGGATCTGTTAATTGATAACTTGGACCTACAAATAACGAAAAAAAATACCGAAAATAAAAGCATCGAAATATAAATATGTCAAAGATATCAATCAGAGATAGGATTGATTGGCATTTTTTCCAAACCGAACCGATCTCATCTCTGATATAAATGTCGAATATAAAAATATTGAAAATAAAATATCGAAAAGGCATGTAATTATGGCTAGGAAGGATCGGGATTGATGGAAAGAGCTATGCGTAAGGTATACAGCTCGACGGTTTCATGAAAAGCGGAACTGAAAACAGAACCAAAACTGACATTTTTTAGCTTCTTGGAACTAGCACCGGAAAAGCCATTCAAGAACCGCTAAGAGAACCAAAGCTTAATTATTTTTAAGTATTATCTGTATTGAAAGAAGTATATTTTGAAAATGTAATCTTTGTCAACGATTTTCTTATTGTTTTACTCTCTTCTATGTTTTGAACAATATACTTCTTCAATAAACATTATGCTTTTCTTATATCAAGAATAAAAGAATTTAAATTTCTCAAAAATATTTTGTATTTATAGAATACTTTAACAGTTCCGACGTCAAGTGATATTGTGTAAACTGAACCAAAACCGCCCGTTTCTCGTTTTTTTCTACCTAAAACCGAGCCAAAATTACGGTTCCGGTTCCAGGTAAATTTTGAAACTACCGAACTCTGGTGAGATGTGTAATTGTTAGTGTAGGTGAACAGAAATCATTCATAATCACACTTATATACAGTCACGTCTATACTCGGACATGCCCTCTCTTACATTTACATCTGAGTTCACATCCATGTCTACACTCTAACAATATCAAAATTTAAGAAAAACTAGACTTCTTAAATATCATTTGATGCGTCGCAAGTTACTCTGCAAAAGCACATATATGATGTCATGATTTAAGATAGATGACAAAATAAAGCAAAGTCCTTTGCTTATTTACAATAAAAACAATTAAATTATGTTTTATATTTTAATTCCATAAGAGATTCTACTAACATCTATTTTGTATAGATAAATAATTTAATTATCTAAATGATATTTTGATTAAACTGAAATGTTTCAATATATTGAAAAGTTTATTTGAAATTTAACCAATCATTTGAATAATTTCAAATGAAAACAGTTTCTTTTTGAAGATATATACAGTGTCATGCTGGAAAGAGAACATTTATATATGATTCTTTATTTTTTAATTCAAGACAGGTTTTCTATTATGAATTTGATGATTCAAGTCTAGAACTCATATAACTGGGATGATCATAAAAGCGAAAGGTCTAATTTATATTTTATCAATTTTCGGAGAAAAGGACAATGCATACATACTGTGAAAATGACTAAAAGAACGTCCTAATTGAATTCTTGTAACATTTCGCAATCGAATATCATCTTGATTGAACTGTCTACTTTGAAATGATACTGTCCACAGCGTTAAGATCTTTGACTTGACATTGTAAATTTCTATTAAAAAAAAAGAATAAATTTATTCATTTAAATAAATTCTATCTAATTTTTTTTGAGTTTTTCTACAAATAGGGATGAGAAATTCTATAATTTCTTCTCATCTATTCATTAAATATAATTCTATTCAGAAAAACATCTTCTTTTTCTGGAACATTTTCTTGATGAAAAGATAATATTTTCTTGTCAAGTATCGTTTAATCAATATATATTTGAATTCACTCGTCTATCCTTTCTAATCATCGTTCTACTCTATGAAATAATCAACCGATAGTGCTAAATGCTGAATCTATGTAACATCACTTTAATTTATTCAAGTAAGTTATCCAACATGAAAAATATAAATGTCTTTTCAAAATATTCATTAGAGTTCTTCAAATCTGTTTGATACCCGAATCGATATGGCTCGAATATGAATTCAGGTAGAAACTCATTAGATTCATTCAAGCTGGAATATGATCTCATACTCAGCAATTAAAGACATCTGATTGAAGTATTATACTACTAAATTTTGAAGTTAATATTTGTGTAGAAGAATAAAAGTCTGAAGTTGTTTGAATCTTAATGGTTTTAAATAATTATGTGAAAATAACTTATGTCAAATTAAGAAACGACCATTTCAATATTTATAATTATGATGACATGAATGCAGAAATAATTGAACCAATGATAAAGAAAATTAATTATTTCGATGAAAGACATTTTTTGTTATAATGAGAAATAAAACGGTTATGTACATATAAACAACTATAACATTTCTTTGTCATTGCTTTTAAATTCATTATTATTGTGTCGATATTGGCCACTTCTTTCATATGTAGAAGATTGAGTTAATTAATGGTTAAAAAAAATAATTGGTAAAGGACGGGGGCGCATAAGAGGTCAAATCGGCCCATTAGGAATTGTTCGGGATAACCCTATTGAATCATACATCATTTGAAAGAGCAAGTTAAAACGAACATTTTGATGCTATCTTCGTGGGGTTTCAATCGAATTTTTGAAGCGAAAAGCTATTTACAAAGTTACTCATTTTTGGGCACTACTCCAATAATCGATCATATCCATGGTCGCCCCAGTTTCGGTATAAGTTGATATGGAAAAATGGTTGTGAAATTAAGTATTTCATAGCTTCTTGATGGGGCTTTAGTCCTATATAAGAATCAATAGTCCCTTGTTCGATTTAGTCAGAACACGATCTGGCATATTATGAGACACTGTTGACATATAGCCTATATTTATCAGTAATTTTTATCTTTCAATAAATATTTCATCGAAAGAATTAAAATGACCAAAATTCTGGTATAGCTCATTCGATAGCGCTTTTCAAGAGCTACAAAATCGTATATTTTCTAAACTCTTAAAAGTATGGCCACTAGGAAAACTTTTAGTCCAAATGTGCTAGGGGTATGATTTATGGTCATTTTTCACTAATAATGTACCTATGTTTTTTGAAAAA